TGCCTTGTTTGAGGCCTTTGTGTCAGTCCATCTCATTGAGGGGCTTCCTTCACTAACCATGATGCCTTGCTCTGGGAACTGCTCTCTCCTGATGACAAAGTACGTGAGGCAGCGTCTCTCCATCCCCCCTTCTAAGGACCATTCTGGTCGTCCTCCTTTTTTCTCCCCAAGTTTTTTCTTCTGACAGTTCATGGGCATTTTCAATATTCTTTGCCAACACCGTAATTCAGAAGTATCGATTTTTCTTCAGTCTTCCTTATTCATTGTCCAGCTCTCACATACATGTACATATGACGTGATTGAAAATACCATGGCTTGGGTCAGGTCTCTGCATAGTGACATCTTTGCTTTGTAACACTTCAAAAAGGCCTTTTGCAGCAGATTAGCCCAATGCATTGCATTTGTTTTCTTGGCTGATGCTTCATGAGTGTTGAGAGTGGATCTAAATTAAGTGAAATGCTTGACAATGTTTTATCCACTTATCATGTCTAGTTGTGATACTGGTCCATTTGTGAGGATTTTTTTTTTTTTTTTACACTGAGGGATAATCTATATTGAAGGCTTTTAGTCAATGATCTTCAAGTATTTCAAGTCTTACTAAAATTGAAGGGAACTGCATAAACAGTCAGTGAAAATTTTAAAAGCCTAGAAGTGGCATTCTTTCCAATCTTGTAACATATTTATAGCAATAAAACAGTGGGGTACTAATGAGAAGGGACTGAGATGTAGATCAACCACGTTTAAGGATAATGTGAACATTTCAAAACAAGAGGAAAAGGAGGCCTTATCAATGGTCCTGGTATAATTGCATCGTAATTTAGAAGAAAATTAATTCCAGTCCATACTGTATACTGGAAGTGCAAATGTGTTGAGTATACAAAATAAGTATATAAAATAAGTCATGGCCAGAAAACAGAGAACTTGAAAGACTAATTTTTTTTCCTTCTTCTGATTTTAAGAAGTATCTGATTTAACTATTGGAAGTGGTTGGTGGTGATGTGTGGTGGAGTCAGGTTTCCAAGGCTGTAAATCTTTACCGGAGCAGAAAGCCCCATCTTTTTCCTGCGGAACAGCTGGTAGTTTCGAACTGCTGACTTTGAGGCTAGCTCTATTTGTAACTGCTTGATTTAGGTTTTACATGTTGGAAATATACCAGTATTAAGTGACAATGAGATTGAGATCTGTAATATGTAAATTTAAATTTATAAATGTTTCAACTTGATACTTTTTTTGTATAATCAAAATTTACAGTATAACAAATGAGACAGTATTTTTCTTATTAAATCTTTTTAAATTGTGGTAAAATTGATACTCATTTATTGGTGATTATATTGAAATTAGTACAGCTTCTTTGGAAAGCAGGATAGGAGATCATATCACGAGTTTTGATAAAGATTTGTCCACTGATTTGGGTATGCTTTTCATTATCCTAAGGGAATTAATAATTAAAAAGAAGAAAACTGTTGGTGTGAATCTGAAATCTGCTGTACATTTACAGTCCAGCTTTGTAACAGTCACATATACAAATAGTTGATTTGACCCTTTACTCTGAGGAAGTCCCTTGATAGTGCAAGCTGTCAGTGCATTCACCTGCTCACCTGACTGCTCCTGGAAATCAACTGCTGGCAGCCTGATGGGGCGTAGTTCTACTCTGACCCATGCTGGGCTGCTGTGATTCTGAATTAAGTCCATGGCAGCTGATTGTTTTGTTTCGTTTTGTTTTCTCATTACTCTCTGTGACTTGCACAGAGTCCCTTGTCAACCCAAATGTTGACAGCATCCTTTTTTTTCTTCTTTGTAGCTTAGTCTTAATATGCTGTTCTTTTATACAAAGACTTTTTATTGAGCCATGGTATAAGTATAGGATGTATGCACATCCTGACTATACAAGGTCAGTTCTTTTTGGGGTTTTTTTTGGTAAGTTTTTATTGTGAACTGAATGATAATTTACATGGGAGAACATTGGCTTTACACCATCATTTCATTGCAATGATTATAATCTTCTTCGTGCATTACCATTCAACAGTATTTGCTTCTATTCTCTCTTTTTTTGGGAAGATGGATATACACAGAAACACTCAGGAATATATATTAATTTAAACAGCCGGAGGACACATTCTTCAAGCCTGCTTCCTGGCCACCAGCACCCAGTCCCTCTCTTTCCATGAGTCCAAAGTCCTCAGCTGCTTCTTCTCTCCATAGCCTCATCTCTGCCTCCATCTATGGTGTCGCTGCTTCTCTGGATAAGGTCCCGCCTGTGCTCTTCTCCCTTGATGGTCCTAGGGTCCTCTGTTTCTGGACTGTAAGGTTAACATTTTGTTACAACATCTCTACCTTTACTGTTGTGACAGTTGCAGTTAGTCATGATAACAGTTAGTCACCTTTGAATCACAAGCATCCTATCCCCATCTCCTTTCACCAGACCTGTTTAGACAATATAAACATTATTCAGTAGGGACTCTACCATGTCCCACACACTCAAACTAAACTCCCTCTTGAAACCTTGTAAGCCAGTCACTTCGTGCCTCTCTCACCCCCTCGTTTTAGGTAGCCAATGTCTATGTTGCCTGTCTCTATCTACCCTGTATATAGAGGAAATAGGATTGATAATTGATGTGAAGACTCCTTCCCTTGAGCCTATTACATCTGTGAGTATAGGTCAAGTTCATCAAGTTGTAGCAATTTACACTTGTTTCCTTCATCAAATTTTTGTTTTTGTCTTCCTCTAGTCAAGTTCTGATTATCAAGCCATTGAGGCTAGGTCAAATGGGTACTGTCTGC